GTGGAGAGATGGACTGGACCTAATATATCACTAAAAGCAAGTATAATGTGGGAAATCTGAACGGTAGAAACTACATGGGCTTGGAAGTTTAGGATGGAGTAACTATTGCCCAGCATTGTGTTCTAGGTTAACTAAGTAAATACTAGTCTCTGTGTGGCGATTTGGTTATACAGCTGTTTAGGATTAACCACAGCTTAATAGAAGATATGTCAATAGTAAATATTAATTGCCACTTACAACACAAGTTCTTTGTCCCGTTGACTTTGGATTACCATAATGTGGCAGTGTGCAAGTGAGAAGTGAACATGCCACACAACAGACAAAGGTGACATTTTGTGGGTCCTCTTCAAGGTTTTTATTCTCTTTGAGTAAAAAAATTAAGTCAAAATCTTTTTTGTTTTTGTTTATTTTTCATTTGGCCTTGAGATAGTTTTATTTTTAAACGTCTTAGCAGAGTGAGCATGCAAAACCTGATTGGGATCCACAATAATCAAACCACAAGGAAGCCACACAGAGGCCATGTCTATCCAAGGCCTGTGCTCACCTGACAGGAGCATTCTTCTCAGAATAGTGCTTTTAAAAACCACAGGAAGGATGGGCAGTTGAATATGATTATTTGAAATTCAACAGGTTATTTTTTTTTTTCCTAACGTTCTCCTTCATATAGTATTTAAAATACCACTTTGAGCTTGTGGGCATGAAAAATACAATTTCTTTCCCATTTCACAGTTGGAAAAACTGAATTACAGAGAACAATACCAGTAATTATCCATAATTAATAGACGTGTGTATGCAAATCATTCTGAGTAAGTGTGTGAAATTAGATGTACTGATGCCAGACAGCTCTGTTCCTGTGTTTTTAAATGCTTTCATGTAAATCTCTGTGTTAGTCAGGCATACAAATATGACTTTCTAAAAACGTATGGATAATAAACTGATTATTATGTATGTATGTATTGTAATGTGTAAAGCAAATTAGACAAATCGTTGCAATTTGTTAGATGGGTACATATCTAACGAGAGCATTATGAATACATACATAATGTTGTTTTGTAATGTGCTTTATAGATTTATATGTAGCCTAGATTCAGCATGTGGTAGACTTGATTTGGGTGTACATTGGTTGGTCATTAAAATGTGTGGGGGAGAATAAGTATTAATTTATTTTGATTGTGAGTATTGATGAGGCGGTACATGCAAAAGACATTAAAGGGCATTGGATATTGTTATTAGTCTTAATATTTTCAGCGCTGCACCAGAGGAAACTGTTATATTTAGAAGTTAGAAGAGGCATCTGCTTGATTTCCAGCATGACATAGTCAGAAAACAAATGAAAATGTGAGGGTCATCCAGCCGTCTCTACAGAATGGGATATATTATTTTTTCTTCTTTCATTCTCTTGGAGCCTGATTTAAAGAATCCATTCCTGGAATAGCCAGGTAGGGGCTTTCCTGACTGTCTGTTTGGATGCCACATTTGTCCATAAGAACAGTAGTCTTCTTTGGGGAAAAAAAATGAAAGCAAGGGTAACTTCAAATTTATGTAAACCTGGCATGTTTGCAACTTGGATTGTATTTTTTTTAACTTTAGTTTTGGGGAGTTTGTTTTGTTTTCAGAGCAAGCTTTAGATAGCTGTATTAATCATGCAAACCCAGCCATGTGCGCTATGTTTTATCAATGGAAAAACAGGGACTGAATGGCAAGCAGCTGTGAGCAAATCCAGGGCAATGCCTGAACTTGGAAGATAATCTCAACATTTCCCAGATCTACTCGCCACATGGGGTTAGTGACTGGAAAGGCTGTTCACTTGGGATAAACACTCAGATGGGAGACAACAAGTGAGACACATTCATTCTGTTCTGTAAAAAACAATAATACTATGGGCAGTGACTGGAGAAGGGTGGGCTGAAGGAGCCCACAGAGCTCAAGGGAGAATTTGCTGGGAAGTTTTAAAGATGAAACAATGGCGATTGCCCTCGTCCTTCCTTCTTTCACTGGCTTTCAGCTTTCTCATGCTGTTTTTACTGCCTCATACTGAACCCATGCTCCTTCTCAGCGCGAGGGTCTCTTCCAATGAGGCAAAAGGTTACACCTAAGTTGGCTAAAGAGAGACACCCCCACTGCCCAGGCTCACAGAAGCCCCTGGAAATTGGCTTGAGCCAAACAGTGTAAGAAAACTTCCTCAGAAATGTAAAACAGTCTCTTCCCTCATTTTACAATTCAGTGGATTTTTCTGCAGGGATATAGTGGAGGCCTTTATGCAAAGATATGCAATTCAGGACTCATTTCGGAATGAATAAACCTAAATTAAAATCAATGGGAAAACCCAACTATCAGAAACAAATCAAGAAAGGAGCACCTCTTATTTTCCACATAGATAATATTTATATATATTTAAATATATAAAATAGAATGTATATTTTAAATCAGGGAACAGGGAAACACACTGCTTTTCTTGTTTTGTTTCATGTTTGGCATAGAGGCAAGGGCATTGTAAAATTTCCATTTGGCCACAAGCAATCCATACTACTCTTTGGTGTTATCCTGGTATTGCGATATCACAGCAGACATGGTAGGGCACCCCCAAGTGGCCTGAGGGCCACAGGTGGTTGGGGACTTGAGTGGATGAGAGGGATGACCTTCTAATGGGGAGCACTAAGGAAGGAGCAATTGTAATGAAAACTGTTTCTTTTGGCTAGGTTATGGTTAGACGGGAGGATGCTCTTTCTATGAAAGGAGGGTAGAAGGGGGTCTTTGTAACTTCCACCACCTTTCACATAACCTTGAGGAAATCAATTGGTCTGAAACTCTTGAGGCCATTTGCCTCAAATAACAAACACAAGGCATAGTTAACACTCTGGGGATGAAAGTTAGGATTCCAAATAGATGATGTCAATATGTAATATTTAATTAAATCAGGGAGTCATACGCACTACTGGTGACCACAGTAAGTCCTACTTTTAATGGGTGTTTGAATATTGAATTCACTCTAAAGACTTGGGCATTTTGCCATTGTCTTTTCTTTCCATGGGAAAACGTGACTTCACATGGGAGGCCCTCTTGATTGAAGAGAAAAGGAGAAAGTGATTGGGTCCCTAGGAAGGTGGTGCCCTTGTAAAGGAGAGGGGACTTAGGAGAACTGACTTTCTCCAGTGACACCCCACGAGTTACCCCATGTCTCCATGAACAGCTTTTCAACTCCTGCTAGCAGAAGCCCGAAGTATTAGTAATAAGGTGAACTACAAGTCTCTAAAACTATCTTTAAAAGCTAACTACAGTCTACAGACAATGCAAAATCAAACCAAGGGTCATTCTCCAATCAACAGTTCAGTGTGTGGGAAATAATGTTCCACAAAATTCAATAAGGTCAGTCCCTTGATGAGACTGCTCGCCAGCATTCGCCAGCTGTCCTTTGTGCACAGGGTCTGGCTTCACTTTGTTTAACCACAATGCATGATCAGATAAACATTTGAGTTTTGAGTTTGTGGCTGCAGAGAGCTGTCACAGAGACGCTCAGGGTCATCCTGATACTGTGCAAAGCTCATCTTGGACAGGGCATGACCTCTTTGCAAATACGATCCACTGGGACAGATATGATGTGGTGTGTGTGTGTGTGTGTGTGTGTGTGTGTGTGTGTGTGTATGTTTCCCTTATCAGGATATTTGCAAGATGCCAACAAGATAATTGGTGTCAATCTCTGTAGCAACACTAGAAGTTAAACGTCTTAAAATAATTGTGGCATGTCAGGAATACAAGATGGAATACTTTCCATGAATGTTACACTTCATGTCAAGTCTGAAAACCAGGCACACTTTAACAGTTTTATTTTTAGTGGCCAGGGTAAGGAACAGATTTCATTAATGCTGTAGGGAAGTTATTTTCTTCAACAGAGTTCTAAGTTTTATACTAAAATAGTCTAGACTGCTCTTAAAATTTATTAAGCTGTCTTGTCAGCCCAGAAACCTTCTGCAACTTATTGTAAATATAATTAAAACAAGTTTGCATATATGTGAATACATGCATATGCAAAACATTGCATTATTGACACTCTGAAGGTTTCCGTCTGATTCTGCTCGGAACTTCAGCTTGGACAAGTTAATGAAACATGATCTATCTCCAAATTTATGAAAGAGCAGCTTTCTTCCTATAATTCTGAGCACATTTTCCTTATAGTGTGTATAATAATCTTCTTTAATTGGATTTATTTTTTTCCACACTAGGCCCTGCATGGCCTAGTTTCCATTTTTTTCTCACATCGTCTTTGAGTGTTATTTGCAAATCACTTTTCTGGGATTTAATTTCAATGGTAGGTTGGTTTCATTTCAATTTTTTTCTATTATTTTAATTTTATTTGCCAATTTGCCTTTAAATACCCTTAAGCTAGAAAGTTGTGGGTGCGACTTTGCATGTAAATGTGATGTAGGAGGCAAAATTTAATTTGAATCTGTGGAAAGTTTTATGCAAAGAATACAGAGTGACTGTAATTTGTTATTTGTGTTTTCTAAAGTATGTATGTTTAAAAGGTAAATATACAAGTTGGCCAAGAGTTAAGGAAAGGTAGTACTCATGTAATTTTATTATATTTAGTCTTTGGGAAAATACATTTTACAATCAACACCAATGACTATAATTTCAGAGCTTATAAATCTTTTTGTTTGAGGTGATCAATGGAATCATTAATGTGATTTTTTTTTTTTAAGGCTAGAGAGCTAGCACACACAATATGGGAGCTTGTAGTGACCTGTAATACATATAGATTAAAAATAGATTATTACCTGTCTAGCTGACTGACTTGAATTTAAGTCAGTGGCACACCTGTTACTCTGCTGCTGTTGGGTGTAGGGACAAACGATTGTCTTGCTTTACAGTGTTTATGGGGAAAAAGTAACTTGTAATAAATGTCAGTTTTGAGAATGTGGTTTTCTCTTTTGTGTGTTTTACACATCATATGTTGGAGAATGACCCAGGAGTAGAACTACGGTGATAAAAATCATACTGACCTTGAATGGGGTGGGGGACTGTGGGTAAAACACGCTCTAAAGGGGAAAAACGGCAAACATCACAGAGGGTTTAAATGCACACACATTCTCAAGGTTAATTGCTCAATTACAGAACAGGAATTTCCACACCTATAGAATCTTATCTCCTGTACAGTGTTTATTTGTTCTTCCTGTTAAAGAATCAAAGACATCAGTGAAATTATAAATATAAAACCTTCTTTTTTTCAATTATAGTAAGAGTACGGAGCCAACACCAGCAGTAACCCTCATATAGGATTTTCTCCTTTGCTAGAAAACTCAATACCAAGGTGCTAACTTTTTAGAAAGAGGGAGTTGAGCAGGTTATAGAAGTTATGAGATCTTCCTTGGGCCTGATTCAGGTCAAGTGCCAAGTAGAAAAAAAAAAATGATTTAATTCTTCACTGTGTATTTGCTACTAATTCTTCACCGTGTATTTGCTACTAAGTTTCAAGCTTTGAAAAATAAGTAGCTGAACTGCTTGTGGCATTTATGTAGCAGTTAAAGCCCACTATACTCTCTCTACTGTGTTTTATTTTATCATTACTGTTATTAGTCAGTGTGTTTAAGTGACTCAGCTTAATTTCCTCATCACACCATTTGTAGTTAGATAAATGCACTCTGCCCTGATCTTCACAAGAGCATGTATACTGCTAAACCATGCTGCCTTCTCTCTACTCTCTTCACAACTGCTTCCTTGCTTGTTATCACTGCCTTAAGCCGAACTTGTTATCATCATTTTGGCTTGTCACACCACATTAGTTAGTCTTGCTCTCTTCATTCTTTTGGCTTATCCGTCCACAGATACTTTCTCCTTCCTGATTTTCTTTTTCACCCTCATCTTTCCACTAGCATCCCTGCTACTGTTTTAAAGTTTAGAGCAAGATTTATTGGCTCCCACAAGAGCAAACCTAGAAGTGAAGTAGATACCAATTAAAACGAAAAGAAGATTTCGAACTGTTGATTTTCAAAACCAGAAAAGAGCAAGCGTCTTGGGTTTTTGTGTTTCTCGCTTAGATAGGGATGCTTGAGGTCAAAAGCAGTTCAGCAGCTGAGTGGGAGATGGGAGGGAGAGTCTCTGCTGTTGGCCCTAGAAGTACAGGCTGTGGCTTTTCTTTTGGCCTTTGACTCTGGGCTTTCTTTTCCTATTGGCTAAATGGAATGTGTAGCTGCAAGGGCACTATTGGCCAGCTCTACTGCATATAACAAGAAAAAAACACTAAATGGGTGTTAACATTTCACAAGAAAGCACTTCTAATTGGCTGTTCCAGAAAGAGAAAAGCTGGAATAGGGATCAAAGTGTTTATATCAAAACAATTTGCTAACTCCAGCTTTATTTAATTACGAGTATTACAAAAGCATTCCTGGAACTTGTTTCCTTTTGTATCTACAGGGGACAGGGAGTGTCTGAAGGAGTTAGTGCCTGCTCTTCTATACTGTATGGGGTTAGAGCTTTATAATAGCTTGTTTTATTATGATGTATCTGTAAGAATCTGGTTATGGAGTCTGCTAAGTGTTAACTACTACCCAAAAAAATGTATCTTTAACACCAAACTCCTAAAATAATAACTTAGAATGTTTTCTGAAGAATAAGGAGAGCTGCTCATTATGAATACTCACTGTGGTCATGGACAGCTTGGGATCTAGTCAATTGCAAGATTTTAAGTTAATTATCTCTTAAAAGTATAAAGTAAATAAAAAAGCACCTCCCAAACACAGGTACAGAATGGGTCAGTGTAGATGTCTTTATTTTTTTTTTTATTCTTTTACCTTTTATAGTCTTGATGCATTAACAATACACATGTTTCTCTGAGTTAATTAACAGAACTTTCCTTTAATGTGGAAAAAAGCCATTAGCCTGGCTAGTTGAGAATTTCAAAGTTCCAATGATTTAGATCCCTAGTCTAGGGACCAGTGGACCCAGGTTGATGGGAGTTAGTGGAGCAGGAGGAATGAGAAACAGTGTTCTACACTGTGAAGAAGCAGAACATTAATGAGCCAGGAGAAAGGCCTCATGAAGGGAAGAGGAAGAAATTAGATATTGCTTCATCTCTACACTGTGACAAGCTGTAACTCCTGCCATTTTGGTCTACATAAATAAATAATGTGTTGGTCTAGAAACTGGCCTCTGTCAGTTAAGTCAGGCTCAAACTTAAATTTCAAACTCAGTTTATACATCACTTCGTTTCACTAATGACACAATCGCCATGCAACAGGGAACCATGAGAACATGGTGGGGTCATTCTGATGGATAAAGACAAGCATGTAGGGCAAGCACTTTATGTAAGCATCTCTTGGGAAGAAGTAATAACAGTGAAATAATTGCCCTTATTTTTCCTCCCTTAAGGGAAGCACTGGGACAAGGTACCTCCATCATCTTGTGGGTAAATCTCAGCTCTGAGCATAAGAACACTGAGATGGTGATAACCCATAATAGACGATGAAAACGTCTCATTTCATCGGAAGAAATTCATGTCTTCATTTATGGCACGAACAGACTAAGGAGCTGAATCCCAGCCCATGTACATTGTGCCACTGGATTTACACATTTAGAAAAAAAAATGTGAAAAGTACCACTTTTTCAGGCATGAAAAAAATTATGTAAAAGATATTATTCAAATATATACACTAGAGTAATCTTTGGCAGAGTGTGAGAATGTGTGAAGGAGACAAACGAAAGGGAAATGCTCCTGGCTTAGGAAGAAAGTTTTATGAACACAACGTATTCTTGCACTGTCGTTCAGCCGTTTTGACCCCCCTGGAGAGGTGACTAGGGAGCAGAGAAGGACACATATACATGTTGCTGAGGACAAGGGACGGCAGACTGACACTGCAGAAGTCAGTGTGTCACGGTGGTGGACAGGGTGGGCAATGTGCTGACCCGCCATCAAGGATGAATAATCATGAACTCAGGGACTCTGGCTCTGGGTCTCTACCTGCTGCTGCCTCTGGCTGGCAGCGGCTCACCAGCTGCTCTATCTGCTCTTGCCTAGCTTGGTCAGCAGGGCACCCTGCTGCCCACACAGCGCTTATGTCAGTGCATCTGGCTACAGAGCCCCCTCCTGAAACTGGTGGGCAGAGCAGCACCAGCTGCCCTGTCCAGGCCCTTCCTCTCGTTTGCCTTTCATCTCATTGACTTTGGGTCTGAAGAATGGACACTGTACTTACGCATGCCCCTTCTTCCTTTTCTCTTTCCTTCTCCTTTACTCTCTCTCCTACATCCTTCTTTCTCTGCCTGCTCCCTCCATCTTCCTGTCTCCTTTTCCTAATTATTTCAGGCTTGTGCAAACTGAGCCACTGTAAAGCACCGTGTTCAAGATTCTAGCTACGCAGGTTGTGATGGGATGCTCTCTGAACCTAACTGATGAAATTAGGTTGGGCAGGAAGGCACACTGTTTTTATTGCAAAGGGCAAACTCTTTTCCTTGAAGTTCCTAGCTGGGCTTTGGGTTTAAGCAACAGAGTTGTTGATTGCCTAATTTTCTACAATAGCAATAGCTCCTTTCACTTCAAAACCTAGTGGCATTCGTCTGGTATTTACTAAGCACACAACATCTCGATTTTACCATTAAGTGGGGAAACAATCCCTAACCAAGGTGAAGGCCTATGCTGTGTATACAAAAACTGGTCCTTATGCATGACGCTGTGTAGAGGGTAGTATGGGACCACTGGGGCTATGACCTCCACCAATTACAGTAGTGTGAACTTCATAATTAGATGATTTGACCCAAATCATAAAGCTCATTATGATATGAAACATTTGACCAATTCCCCGATTCTTAGCTTAAAACCTGAAGTTCTCTATGACTCCTGGTATTTAATTTTCCCATGTTAAGTCCTTTCATGGGTTGCTGCAATGGGGCAGTCCCTTTCACCAGATCCCACAAGTGTCTCTACTGTCTACAGCTCAGCTCCTGCTCCGCCTCTCTGTGTGAGTATTTTCTCAACTTTTCTCTCCTGGGCCTTAAGGCAATGTTTTATTTGTTACTTGAGCTGTATAGATAGCATGTTTTCCTTATGAGAAGGATGAGAAGAAAATATATCTCAATGTGTTGTGTAATTAATTGTTCATTTTCCTAAATCATCTGGCTGTTGCATTTTCTACATTTTGATCTCCTTGAAATCATTTTTGTTAAGTGCATGATTTCTACTTGAGCAGGTTCCCTTAGGGTTGTCAGAATCTCAGACTTATCATTTTAGGTGGGGCTTGCCTGTACCTCTGGAATTCCTTATGTCAAGAAGGATTGGGTTAACTATGTCTCTTAATGCAGAGTTCCCTAAAGGTCTGCTGGAGCTCTCCAGTTGGAGAGCTGTTGTCTCCAGTTGAAGGCAGAGAATATTTACATTTAGTCTTTAGAGACAAGTAAACAGGACATGGGTTTTCAACCTCACACTGATGTGGCATTTAGATAGCTATACCCCATCAAACTACCACAGACAAAAGCTAGGGGCTTAAGAATGAGAAACTTAAGGCCACCTTTAGGGTAGTTTGTGGTTGTTGTTTTACAAAAGTAATGTTAGATCTTCAGCAATTTTCAAAGAACTTTAATACTTCCCTTCAAGGGAACTCTCGCTTAAATTGATTTTTCTTCCAAGAATCTGTTTTTTCCCCTTGATGGCTCATATCTAAATTGAATACAGTATCTTTCCTAGCCATAGTATTTTTTTCTAATTGAGAAAGTAAAAAAAAAAAAGCTTTTAATGGTTTGTTATTTTAAAGCAATAATAAAACTTTTAAAGCATTTTCTCTTTGATCTGAGTGAGTTTTGTGGCTCAGAAGGTTCTAACCATTCTGCTTCACTTATCCTGAAATATAAAACACCCATATTATCATCTTTCCATGACCCCATTCCTTATCCACTTTCTTTCGGGGACATTTGAATCTGGAATTATAGCTACCTGACCAAGAAGGATGTGGAGTTAGAGGCATGACTGTGTGCTGCCAGTGAGCAGGACTCCAAGGTGGGCTCTCTTAACATCCAGGCCTTTAAAAGGACTGATTGCTTCTCTGCCATCTTTTCGGGTCTTTTCTGATCTTTAGAAATGCTCCCTTTCCCTTTATTCTACTTCTGCTGCAAATGGTGTATCAGAAAGATACACTCCTTGCTGTCCTAGAGAAACCATCCTGCAGTGTCCTTTTTTCTTCAATTTGCATACTATACTTTAATCATTCATTCTACCCTTCCTCTTCTATTAGTGAAAACACCTTCTTTTTAGAGGACTTCATCCACTCTCACCAGATAGGTTTTTCTGCATAATTAGTTGCTGGTATATTCTCAGAACTGTCTATTTCCCAGTCCTTAAATTACCCCAGCTTCTTAAAGAGACCCCCACAATACCACAAAACAAATATGCATCCTTTGACTATTTTTGAAGAATAACCAACCAGGAAAAAAATGATACTATGCAGCACTGATTAAAAAAAAACAAAATAAAACACACACACACACACACACACACACACACACACACACACCCAAAAAACAACTGGTCAGTTTTCCAATGTAAGAGAGTTAAAACAGAGAATACTTCTATTTGTAAATCTTGCTGTTTGTGAAGACTGGAAGCCTCCACTCTGGTGTCAGTGGGGATGTCTTTATTTTTGTATAGGTTTACCTTTAACGGATGGGGGATGGGGGTAGTTCTCAAGTCAATATGTGGGAACCCTCTGACTTCCATGGGGTCAGGCTCTTTTCGGCATACTTACTGAAAAGGACTAGGCTGGCATTGGTGACCCCGAGCTTGTTGGCAGCCACGCAGGTATAGTTGCCGTAGTGTTCCTCAGTGACATTGGTCACCGTCAGGGAGGACTGGCCCTCGGTGCTCTTAATCTCAAGGCCATTTGCACTGTTTATCCTGAGAGTAAGAAATAGAAGAGTTAAGGGGATTCAGACGAAGGGCATGGCTTGGTGGTTTCTTTTTCGTCTTTACACTGGAGAGGAAACAGAGTGTTTTCTTTCCTCACGGACTCATTATAATCACGTAACCTCTAGTATCAGAACTGACTGGTGACCATCCACAGAGAAGACACTGCAATGGCTGCGTTCCATTAAAAGTTTCAACTACATTCAAGAAAAATATATATAGGTGGAACTTAGCTTTTGAACCATGTTTCTTACTATTTAAATTTATCCGAGTGCTTTTTGGTTCAGCTTAAGGGCTATAATCCCCAAGTGATGTAAAAAAGAAGATGTTGAAAAGGAGTAAGTTCATTACAGATGAGTGAGGTCTTGCTGTTAGGCCCTGGGAGATTTTGAGATTATGATTGGAACTTGGGATATATAAGGTTTAGTGGGTTTGGCACGTACCTGGTGTCATCCCGGTACCACTCAAAGTCAGGTGCAGGCACCGCGGAGGCCTCACATTTGAGGGAAGCTTGTCGCCCTGTGGTGGCTTCATTGCTCTTGGACTCCGTGATAGTGGGTGGATCTGTAGCAAGGGCAGACAGAGGGGTTTATTATGTGAGAGCAAAGGATGCTCTGGGCACAAAGGGCTGCTGTAGGAGAATCTGTAGGAAAAATGAGCCGGGGAAGGTTCTAAAATTGTTACCCAGGGGTACAGTTACCAAAGGCAGCTGGTTGGAGAGAGACAGGAAAAGCGATTATGTGAAAGCATCAGTGACATGCCTCATGACCGGGTAAATGAGACTGGTCACCAGCAAGCTAAAGTAAAGTGAAAAATGATGGTAGAATGTAGAGTTGGCTTACATAAAGAAATACTGGACGGCATTTTATGTGGACGAAACCCAGTGGCTCCTTTCCTCTCCTTCTCAATCATTCTGATTGAAGGTTATGTTATCTACAATTTTTTTTTTTCAGAAAGTCATGAAAACAAAGGATATGGCATTTTTAGGATTTATTTATTTTTTTAGTTACATGTATATGCGCACGTCTCTCTGTGGGTGTGTATACATGAGTTGAGTGCTGAAGCCCATGGAGCTCACAGAAGGTACTGGACATTCTGGAGCTGGAGTTAAGGTAGTCATCTGACATGAATGTTTGGAAACTCAAGGCTTCTCCAAGAGCAGTGCTTGTACTTAGTCTCTGGGCGAATATATAATTTGACCACTTTCGTTTCCTTATTGCTATTATTTCTACTGTTAGCAACGGCTTTGAGGAGCCTGATGAATATAAAAGGGTTAAGCTGCTCCCAATCTGAAACTTTGCTGTATGTGGTCAAAGGACTCCGGAAGCTAAAAGCAAGAAAACTTCAATGAGGTCATTGTTTTGATCTTTGCTCTCATGTGAGCCCGTCTGTTACTAGGACACAATCTAATTTTGGTTTTTATGTATGAGTTGCATTATGATGTGTCTCACAGTGGACGGAAGACCTGCTTGTCGTTAGCCCTTCACTGTCACTGACCATTGAATACTGATTTGTATTTATTTACTTTTTTACCTTTGTCTAGGTCTATGAAAATTGTAATTGACTTGAGACGAAGTAAAAAAAAAATCTGATAGTCTAATTTGCCAAGATTCCTTGTGAACAGTCCTATTAAGGTGAAGTAAGACAGGATGGGAGCCATGATCTTTTGGGTACAATGATAGTGTTTTTTATCTGTGTAAATTTTGAGAGTAAGATTTTCCAGGTCAGGGGGCTTGACTCAGTCAGTAAAACTCTTCCCTTGTAACCAAAAGATCCCAAGTATACTGCCCATAATCTTATGAGCTTGTAATCCTAGGTCTGGGGAGGTGGAGATAGGAGGATGCCCTAGGGATTGCTGGTCAGGAAACCTAGCCTAACTGAAGAGTTCTAGGCAATTAAAGAATCTGAAGAAAAAGTGGGGAACAGCCTAGAACTCATTGGCACAGGAGACAACTTCCTGAACAGAACACCAACAGCACAGGCTCTAAGAGCAACAATCAATAAATGGGACCTCATGAAACTGAAAAGCTTCTGTAAAGCAAAGGACACTATCATCAAAACAAAACGCCTGCCTACAGATTGGGAAAGAATCTTCACTAACCCTTTATCTGACAGAGGACTAATATCGAGTATATACAAAGAACTAAAGAAGCTGAAAAGCAGCAAACCAAGTAATCCAATTAAAAAATGGGGAACAGAGCTAAACAAAGAATTCTCGACAGAGGAATATCGAATGGCAGAGAAACACTTAAAGAAATGCTCATCTTCATTAGCCATCAGGGAAATGCAAATCAGAACGACCCTGAGATATCACCTTACACCCATCAGAATGGCCAAAATGAAAAACTCAAGGGACAACACATGCTGGAGAGGTTGTGGAGAAAGGGGAACCCTCCTCCACTGCTGGTGGGAATGTAAACTGGTACAACCACTCTGGAAATCTATCTGGCACTTTCTAAGACAATTAGGAATAGTGCTTCCTCAAGACCCAGCTATACCACTGCTAGGTAAAGTTTGCTCAAGTACACAAAAGGGATATTTGCTCAACCATGTTTATAGCAGCTTTATTTGTAATAGCCAGAACCTGGAAACAACCCAGATGTCCATCAATGGAGGAATGAGTACAGAAATTGTGGTATTTTTACACAATGGAATACTACTCAGCAATCAAAAAGGAGGAAATCATGAAATTTGCAGGCAAATGGTGGGATCTAGAAAAGATCATCCTGAGTGAAATATCCCAGAAGGAGAAAGACAAACACGGTATATACTCACTTATATAGACCTATAAGAAGATATGATAAACATAATGAAATCTATACACCTAAAAAAGATAATCAAGAGAGCAGACATGGGGTAAGATTATCAATCCTCGTGTTGAAAGACAGATGGGATGCACATTGAACATATGACAGGAGTCTACTGAGCGCATTTGAAAGACTCTAACTAGCAGTGTTTTCAAAGCAAAGACTCATGACCAAACCTTTGGGAGAGTACAGGGAATCATAAGAAAGAAGGGGAGTTAGTCTGATGAGGAAAGGATAGGAGCTCCACAAGGACCAAATATATCTGGGCACAGGGTCTTTTCTGAGACTGACATGCAACCAAGGACCATGTATGAATATAACCTAGAACCCCTGCTCAGATGTAGCCTGTGGTAGCTCAGTAACCAATTGGTTTCCCATAGTGAGGGGAACAAGGACTATTTCTAACAGGAACTCAAAGACTGGCTCTTTGGCCTCCCCACCCCCCAAGGGAGGAGCAGTCCTGTTAGGCCACAGAGGAGAGCTTTGCAGCCAGTCCTGAAGATACCTGATAAAACAGGATCAGATGAATGGGGAGGAGGTCCCCCCATCAGTGGACTTGGCAAGGGGCATGGTGGAGATGAGGGTGGGAGGGAGGGACTGGGAGGGAATGAGGGATCGGGACACGGCTGGGATACAGAGTTAATAAAATGTAACTGATAAGAAAAAAAATAAAATTAAAAAAAATCTGATGGGATTCCTGAAGATGACATATGAAGTTGTCCTCAGGTCCTCATGTACATATGCACCTACATAAACACACACACCCACACACACCCACACACACCCACACACACACACACACACACACACACACACACCCACACACACACACACACACACACACACACACACACCCTACACCCTACAGCTATGAGAGAGACACATAAAAGGGGAACTTTTCATTCCACAAGTTATTTTTCAGGAAATAGTACCTTTCCATATGAGTGCCGGTGAAAAATAAGCCTAAGCACCAATCAAGCTGCTCAGATTTTGTGAAGGAAAAGTTAATTAACGAAATAAACTCTACTATACACACGTCATTTCAATACCTGGACTATGCTGTTTCAGATTTTTTTTTTCTCCTTACAGTTTTGGAAATTATTTTTAAAGTTTTCTGTCTACAGAAACTTTGGTCCTGAGTTAGAATCTTGTGCAACAACGTCAGGCCAGCCTGATGTTTCCTCCCATCTCCCATCTCATTAGTATGGATTTTTTTTTTTTTTTTTTTTTTTGCCACTTTCAGAGAGAAAAGAATAAGAAGACATTTGGATAATGCAGTCAAACCATATGCAAATAATAGACTATGGCTTTGTTATTGTTGGTATTGTTTTACATTGGACTTAGCTACTCATTTTCTTAGGAGCAATAAATGAGAAGATGATATATTGCAAAGCTAAAGAGAGGAAAAATAACCACAAACACTGAACTGAAAGTAGAGGTCTTGGGACGTAGTTTTGGTGTGGTTGAACGAACTCTCATTACACTCTATCTCCTGGACCCTGTCTTAACCCTAACTTATTTAGGAAGTGAACTGCACATAGTAGGGCTTGTATTTTTATATATATATATATATATATATTTGCAATCCTTTCAGCCCATTGTTTAAAACTGGGCTGTTAATATTATCATAACGCATGTCTTTTCACACTTTTAACCATTCTTGCCTTAAAATTGTTAGTGCTCTAGATAATTCATCTGTCTACTCTATGGTTAGGGTCAGGTGTGGGAAATCTGAAATCTCTGTTTTGAGCTTAGTCTTAGCTAGACCTGTGCTTTGTAGAACCATCTGCATGAGTTTAAGCCCTTTCTTCCTTTATCTTTTCAAAGGAGACGGCTTAAAATGATCAGCAAAGTTCCATTGAAAAGTCTTTCTATGATTGGCTCTGTAGGTCATTAAAGCCCATCCGTTCAAAGGATAATGCATGAATTGGGTATATTTGTGCTGATGGTAGAACTATTGGTAGGAGGGATGGAGCATAAAATAGAGGAGATTATACGTTTAGATTTAATTTTGATATTCTTGAGCTCAAATTGAGGCTTGGCCCCTCATTGTTCTCCCTTATTAGAGAGTTTAGTGCTCTGCCCAGAGTCACACTGCTTCAATTTCCTCATCAATAAAGTGCTGGAGCTAGCAGCAGGGAGGCCCATTTGGAAGCTGACAAAGGGATTTAGAAATATTCTGCACCAGGTTTATGATAAAAAGATTGGAAGGAGAAACAGATTTGAAATATATAGAGCCTCAGAAATGATCACCTGGTAATTGATTAGCTCTAAAGGGGAAGGGAAGAAGGAGCAAAAGGATAACACTCAGGCTTTTTCGGTTTGGGCATCCAGAGATGCCGTCACCAAAAGCGGTAGAAGAGGGCCCAGGGACTTGAATTTGACGGAATGTATGAGGACCCGACTTTAGAGCACCAGCACCCATTACAAAGTTAAGTGTCTTAGCGCATGTCTGCAATGCCAGGATAGGGTAGGGACAGAGAGATTACTGGCCAAAAAACATGGCCGGTTGGTGGACTCCACATTCAGTGAGAAACCCTGTCTTAACAGCAAGAACGGTAAAGCAATAAGGTCCAGAAGAACAGAGGAAGACACCCGAAGTAGATCTCTGTCCTTCACACATATGCACACGGTTGTGAACCTATATACACACATGTACACATGTGGATACATGCACACACACGAACACACGAACATGTATGCATCAATCACACATACACCCACAAAGTAAATGAATGAATAAGGTAGAGATGCCCA